ATAGATATTTCATTACATAAAATATAATATATTAAAATTTTAAATAGAATTATTATGTAAAATTTTGTGTAATTAATTAATAAATAAATGATGTGCGATACTTTTGTCTAAGTAGTGTATATATATATAATTTTTTATTACTTTTATAGATCAAATATGTTTTGCAGTAATTGAAGTCTTTTCTTAACTATTTTTCTTTTGATATTGTTTAAATTGATATATAAGTCCAGTTTGTAGCATATAGAAGCAGCTGTCTGTTACAAGTATATTATATTGTATTCAAATTCATTATATATCATATTGTTAATGATTATGTTTACTAAGTCAAGCTTGTGTTTGAAGATAGTCATCAGTTTGTTAATCATTTTATTGTATGTATTCCTAATAAGAACTATGTCATGTAGAGATATTCTAGATTGGATCTTTTGTTTGATTAAGTCTTTCTGATAATCTTTTTTGCTAGAGCTGTCATACCTGATTCCTAGTATTCTAACTGTATTTTTTTTTTTTTTTAATGCGGGACTTGACCAAGTTTATTAGCAAAGTTTTATTATTTAGATACATCTAACTGGAAGAAAACAATAATAAGCTATTAAACTAATGATAGGTTAAAAAGAAACCACCTCATGGCTAAGCTATCTCCAAACAGAGATCTAATGAAAGGGCCATTAGGACAATAAAAATTTTAAAGGGGGATTGATGTGTATCAAATCTAATTCACTTTGAGTTGAGGGAGAATACCTAAGTTTTGATATATTAAAGTTAATAATTCTAGAATAGTAGAGATTATACAAATATATTAAAAGAGGCTTTGGATGATTTGGTTTATTTAAAGGTTTATTAAAGATATATAATATCAAGTATAAGAGAATTCAGTATGTAAAACCTTGGGTTAACTTTTTTAAATAGCTGGCCATTATATATATAATTGAATATTAAATATTTAGTGACCAAAGTAATCAAAGTAATTAAATTTGCCAGATTTGTCAAATCTGACCAATGTACTAGATATGTTTACTTGGATAACCTACTTTTTTTTTACTGGCTTAGCCTTGTTTTATTGTTGTTTTCAAATTACATTTATACAGTATAGCTGGTGCTAAAGTATAGGGATGTAGTTTCAGTAATAATAAAACTCAATAAGCTATAAACTACCTTGTGGCTTGTTGCCTTTTTTTTAAGAAAAAGAAACTAACATGCCAAGGCCATGCTAGTTATAAGGTGAAAGGATAATAGTATAAAAATATTAATATTGTACTTTATGTATTTATTTGTATAGCTATTGACTATCCTAATCAAATTTGCATTCTGATCCTTTGCTGCTTGATCGGGTGTATTCTCTAGAATCTTTTGCTGCCTGTCTTGGGTTCGTCTGGTTCATTTTATTGTCCTGTTTGTTGATGGGCTTGATGCTTGTATGTGAGATTCTTTACAATATACTTTCTAGATGTCATGTAGAAGTTTTTTCCATTCTCTCATTGCGTTGATAATTGTTGTAATGATTGCCTTGCTACTGATTATTAGCCTGTTGAGTGTTCCTGAGATTTCTTTTATAACTGTTCCCTTGATGAGTAGCTTGATGTTTTGAATATATTCAGATGAATGTGTTGTTGTATAATGCTCTTGAAGTTTTGTTTGTGTTCTTTACAGATGTGTGCAGATATGTGTTTTCTTTGAAAGTTCTTTCTCAGATTGTTCTTTTGATTGTTGCATAGAAACAGATGGGTGATGTCTTCTATTTCTTTGCAGTTATGGCATTTTCTGTCTGTAAATTGAAAGGTATCTACTATGCAGTTTGCTTCTGGTTAATAGTTCTTCATACCAAAGGTTAAAGCTAAACTTTCTTAGGTGATGATTCTTGTTTGACATGGTCAGTTCTTCTATATTGAAGGAATGGAGGCTGTTGAAGATGTGTTGCCTATATATGTTCTTGAAATCATCCTCCATGAAGTAGTTCTGGGTTCTGTTGAGTAAATGCCACCTGGTGAGTCTTATTTCTCTATTGATTTATTTTGCTATATCCTTCTCTAGTATGTCTATTAGTGTTTGGTTCCATCAGATATTGATCGGTGATGATCCCAGGTGGTGCTCCCTGATGTTGATAATCCTCCTATTGGGTTTTATGTCTTGTGATGTGGGATCAATTTTGGACAGTTTGTCTACTTTTTTATTGAGAGAAACACCTGTGTGTGCTTTGACTTTGTGAAAGATTATAGTTAGACCCTGATAAGAATAATCTATTAGCTAAATATAAATAAGATATTATAATAGAATAAAGAAATTAAATAATATAGTCTATAAATTACTACTTTGCTCTAGTGATTAATTTACCTTATAAAACAATGAGACATATCTTGTATTATATGTGTTACATGATCTAAAAATAGAATTAAAGTAATATGATAGACAAGAACTATAGATAATAACTAAAGAGAAATATAGTTATTAATTAAGGCTAATACTATATAAACAGTTAAGCAGCCATTAATAGAATAGAAAAGATCTAGAAAAAAAACAAAAGCAGGATTATGAAAAAACAAAAATTCAAATCTCTTACTTCAGATCAAGATCCGATATAAGTAAAGAAAGATCAAACTATTATTACACAAAGTACAAGCTACTCTAAAATAAAAACAATAAAATGATAGATCAACTGGCACAGATAAATCTATAGAAAAGCATAAAATCAGGAGAGAATAAAATCAAAATCACCAGAATTAAAAATTCAAAAATAGGTATTAACACTATAATAGAATAATCATTTTACTAAAGTTCTAATAAAATAGATTATACAATGGCTCATAGACACTATTTATCTAATAAAAAGATGATTATTGAACAGATCTAGATGCAATTTCAATGAGCTAATAATCAAAGAAATCAATTGACAAATAATAACTATACATTTGTAATCCATAAAGATAAGCAACTATCATATAAATAAGAAAGATTAGAAACTAAGAAAGTTCTGTCTTAACCTATAGAATAATAAACTATTAATCAAAAGCAAGCTATATGCAAGGCTTCCATTAATTTATAAAAAGAACAAATGTTGAGAGCCAAAGATCCATACTTATTCTTTCCTTTGCCAACAACTAAAAGTAGAAACAGAAGAAATACTAAAGGATATAATCACAACCTGTGTGAAAAACTATATAAAGAAGAAAGAATTTCAACTGTTTAGTATCCAGTTCCTAAACAAAAATAACATGAAATATAAAGAATACTTAATAGCAAATATCAGGGGGACTTTCTTCAAAAAACTCATATATAGTCTCAAAATAGCAATTCCGGATAGAATAGAAAAAAAACTGAATAATAGCAATCTGTTACGACCATAAAATATCTATATCAAATATGGCAAATAAGATGTAAAACCTTTCAAAAATGGAAAGCCAGGGAGAGAATAAACAAAAAGAAAAATTAGCAAAATATGAGACAAGAGAAGAAGAAACCATTATTACATCCCAGGAAAAACACATAAAAGACCAATTCATATATTTGGTCAACAAGTTTATGAAACAATGGATCACACATCTTATAAACAACTTCTTCATATTTGAAATCCCTTTCAGCACTAGTCCAACCTTGGCAAGTTGGCTCACTATTCTGGGATAGCAACAAGTCGCAAAGTGAATACCTTCATATAAAGGGTTTTTATTGAGTTTTATTTAATAGTAAACAGGTAGTGCATCCTAGAATAGCTTCTATATATTGATACTATATAATCACAAATAAAGCAAGGCTGAGCCAGCATTAAAAATAAAAATAAAAATAATAGCATTTGACTTATTTCAACTTTTAAATCTGGTAGAAGCAGAGTAATAGTGTAAGAATACTTTATGGCTAATAGGTAAATCCATTGATAATAATAATAGAAACCAAAGAAAAATGATTATACTGTATTTATTCTCTTGAAAAAATTATCTTTTAAATTAATCATATTTTTTAAGATTATAATTGTTCAATTTATCCAACAAAAATTGTAAAAAAAAATAAATTGATGAAAAAAATATTTCCTGTAATTCGTGACTGTCAAAGCCCTAATATTAATCCTATAGAAAACTTATAGGATGAATTAAAATATAAAATTTATTAAAATAATCTTTTAATAATGAAACAGAATCATTTGGATTTTTACAAGAGTATTAGAAATATATAATAAATCCATCATTATCTCATTAAAAGTATGCATAAAGCTATTAAAAATTTTAAAGACAATCCTACAAAATGCTGGATAATTAAATAAATTTTAAAACAACAAAAAATTTTTTATTAATATTTTTTATTTATCCACAATTTTTTTGATCGATAATCGTCGAGTTTGGTAGTTGTTAAGTGGCGGTAATACATTCTCCGTTTATACAAGGTAAATCAGCACCGCACTGTAAAGTTAAGAAAATTTGTTAATTTTTAATAAGAAAAAAGACGATTTATCAAAAGAATATGAAAAGGCTTATACATCGTTAGAACAAATTCCGCAATTTTTATTGTCGGTATTAGTGTCAACGCAGGTATTTGCACAAAGTGTTAGACCATTGGGACAGGTTTGGGTACATATTCCACTTTGACAAGTTTGGTCACTAGTGCACTGTAAAGTTAAGAAAATTTGATAATTTTTAAAAAGAAAGATAACGATTTATCAAAAGAATTAGAAAGAAGATTTTACATACAGCATTGCCGCAAGCTCCGCAATTTTGGCTGTCAGAATTGGTGTCAACGCAGGTAGAGCTACAAAGTGTTTCCTTGCCGGTGCAAACACATTTCCCATTATCACAAGTTTGACCACTAGCGCACTGTAAAGTTAAGAAAATTTGATAATTTTTAAAAAGAAAGAAAACGATTTATAAAAATAATTAGAAAGAAGATTTTACATACAGCATTACCACAAGTTCCGCAATTTTGGCTGTCAGAATTGGTGTCAACGCAGGTAGAGCTACAAAGCGTTTCCTTGCCGGTGCAAACGCATTTCCCATTATGACAGATTTGACCGCTAGCACACTATAAAGTTGAGAAAATTTTTAATTTTAAAAAAGAAGGAAATTTTTAAAAAAAGATATTGAAAAAAAGCTTATACATACAGTTTTATCGCAAGTTCCACAGTTTTTTTCGTCAGATCCAGTGTTAACACAGGTGGAGCCACAAAGTTTTCCACCATTGGGACAAGTACATTTTCCTTTTTTACAAATAAAATTATCAGCACACTACCATATAATTATGATCAA